GTGAGACGAGGGGAGGAGGGAGAGAGGACTCCGAAAGTGGAATCTGCACAAGCAACCTAAAGGGAAGAATAAGAAAAACCCTGAATCACTGTAACTAAACTCCAGATGCAAGGCAAACTGCGACTTCTTCAAACTAAAATAGATCGCTTAAGGGCCAAAATTATAAATTATGAAGCAGAAATGAGTATCAAACAACTCCCAGCGGTTTGCACCTAGAGAAGAGAAGGATCCACTGGAAATAAATAAACCCAGTCCAAACAACGCCTCCAATAGGAGAAGAAAACCTCTACAACAGGACCCCTGAGAAAAGACAAGACGAGCACGCTGAGCGCCCGCCGCCAGGATTCTGCGAACCTCCAAGGGTGCTGCGCCGGCCTCCGGCCTCCGGAGTTGCACTTCACTGCTCTCAGGACATTAATTACATCCTTCACCTTCCATTTGGGGGAGGGTGAGGAGAAAGGCACTCACCAAGCTGAGCGAAGAAGTCAGTGAAGAAGTCAGCGTGGGAACAAAGTTTAAGAAAGAAAGGCTGAATGTTTCGCTTTGATTTTTAAATTTATTTTGGAAATTAAAAGACATTTCCAGACGCCTGGGCAATCTCGGATGCAGACTTCTCGGGGTAACCTGAATTTTTCTCTCTCACCCTCTCTTCCCACCCCCTCCCACGCATTTCTCCTGCTCGCACATCTCTATTTTACTCTTCAAGAAAACGCGGAAAAAGTCTCAGCAACTACCTTTCTTTTTCAAAGATCACTTACTTGCCCTGTTTTCTAGAGAAGGCAAAAGGTTTGCCAAGCGGGCGAAGGACACCGGCTGTAGCATCAGCGGGTTAGCCCAGGTGGAAAGCAAGGGCGAAAGTGGGGCTGAGGGGAGCGCACTCACTCTTCCGCAAGCCGCAGGGCCACCACCAGCGCCTGAGCCTTGGATCCCTCAACGTACTGCGAGACGCCGGTGTATAGCCCGGACCTGTGCCCCAATATGATTGCCGCTCAGGCCAAGCTGGTTTACCAGCTCAATAAATACTACACCGAGCGGTGCCAAGCGCGGAAGGCAGCCATCGCCAAGACCATCCGAGAGGTCTGTAAGGTGGTCTCGGACGTGCTAAAGGAAGTGGAGGTGCAGGAGCCTCGCTTCATCAGCTCCCTGAGCGAGATCGATGCCCGCTACGAGGGACTGGAAGTCATCTCGCCCACAGAGTTCGAGGTGGTGCTCTACCTAAACCAGATGGGCGTCTTCAACTTCGTGGACGACGGCTCGCTGCCGGGTTGCGCGGTGCTCAAACTGAGCGACGGGCGGAAGCGGAGCATGTCTCTCTGGGTCGAGTTCATCACAGCGTCGGGCTACCTCTCTGCACGCAAGATCCGTTCGCGTTTCCAGACGCTGGTGGCTCAGGCGGTGGACAAGTGCAGTTATCGGGATGTGGTCAAGATGATCGCAGACACCAGCGAAGTCAAACTGCGCATCAGGGAGCGCTACGTGGTGCAAATCACACCCGCGTTCAAGTGCACCGGCATCTGGCCCCGCAGTGCTGCCCAGTGGCCTATGCCCCACATCCCCTGGCCTGGCCCAAATCGAGTGGCGGAGGTCAAGGCGGAAGGGTTCAACTTGCTCTCCAAGGAGTGCTACTCACTGACCGGCAAACAGAGCTCTGCGGAGAGCGATGCCTGGGTGCTACAGTTCGGGGAGGCGGAGAACCGCCTGCTGATGGGCGGCTGCCGAAACAAATGTCTCTCGGTGCTGAAGACGCTGCGGGACCGCCACCTGGAGCTGCCAGGCCAGCCACTCAATAACTACCACATGAAGACGCTGCTGCTGTATGAGTGCGAGAAACACCCGCGGGAAACAGACTGGGATGAGGCTTGCCTCGGGGACCGGCTCAATGGCATCCTGCTGCAGCTCATCTCCTGCCTGCAGTGCCGCCGCTGCCCTCACTACTTTCTGCCCAACCTCGACCTTTTTCAGGGCAAGCCCCATTCGGCCCTGGAGAGTGCTGCCAAGCAGACCTGGAGATTGGCCAGGGAAATCCTCACCAATCCCAAAAGCCTGGACAAACTATAGGGTGCAGGGGACTGCTTGAAAAGCGACACCGTTGGGAATGCTCTCACACACAGCACACCACAACTCAGCGACAAACGGCTGAAACTCCAGACACAAACTTTTATGTAAGCTACCTGAAAGAAACAGGGACAAGCAGACCTTCGTTAACTGACAACGAGAGAGCAAACCAACTAACCAAACAAAATCACATTCTTGCACAAAAGTGATCGTTTTCTTCCAAACAATGTGAATTTAAAAGATCATACAAAAGAAGCAATCGGGCTTTGCCACCACAAAACGAAACCCAAGGTACATTTTCCAATCAGTGTACAGCGGTCTCTCTCCTTTTCCTTCTTTCCCCCACTTCTCTCTCTCTCTCTCTCTCTCTCTCTCTCTCTCTCTCTCTCTCTCTCTCTTTCTCTCACTTCATTTTGTTTTTGGTTGCCTGAATGTTGTCACAAAGTGATAAAAGTATTTAATTATATGTAAATTTTCTCTTTAAAAAAAGTTTTGCTGATGTTAAGTGTATCTCAGTGCCAATGTCAGATCGTGCCCCTCCCTCTCTTGCACCTCTACCCTCACCCTAAGCAATCTTGTTGAAAACAGTAATAAAATATTACTTTACATTGTAATTGACTGGTTGTGAATTGTTCTTAAATGAAGGCAGGCACTGTAAATTTATAATTTACAATGTAAAGATGTGAACTTGAGGAACTAATGTAACAAGGTTCCATTTTAACTGTAATTTGCAAATACAACATTTCCAAATACAGTACATTTAGCAGATTAAATCATACAAGTTCCTGTTAAAATACTTAGAAAAAATAAGATATTAATTGTAATAAACTATGTTCTATAGATTGTAAGGTTAAAAATTGAAAGACTGAAAAAGAACAGATTTTGTATGGAACATACTTTGGTTCTAATATTCAAAACAGAAAATATTATTTCACATTAAAAATAGATTTGTTCTCTATGCCATAATTCAAAAACCCCTACCCTGGGTCTGTAATACATAGGAAATGTTTATGGGCCTTTTCAAAGTTAACACAGCAACTGATAGTTTTCCTTCAATTTTTACCCTCTTCAAGTTTTAAATACAAAAATTTAAGTCAATCATATGTCCAAAAAAAGAATGAAATTCTTATAGCAATATTCATTTTCCTGTAGTAAATGTTGATATGAATTATCCAGATTTATAAATTACTTCAGTTTTTAAAATGACTTAGTTATAAATGCCATAACTATGTCATAAATGCCATAAAAATGCCGTGACAATTTTTAATCAAATTCCCAGAATTAACCTGAACCTGCCTATAGGTAATTTAAACAAAAAAGTTTGATACCATTTTTATGACCAAAGAAACATTACTGTTTAGAGAATTTACGTGTAGGAAAAGTGTTCATTCCTCCACTTCCTGGTTTTCGAAGGTAAAAATCCAGTTACTTATTTCAACTTTAACAAGGTTTCTCTTTTATACAAATGAATAGCTGACTAACAATAAAATAATTAGTAAATCTGAATGGATCCCAAAGGAACTGGTTTGTCTTCTTTATGTTGGAAATAACTATAGACTTCAGTAGATATGATAATTACAAGACCCAGGTACAGAATATGTGTGAGATGTTACCCTTTAACATTTAAAACTTACTTTTTGAATTAGTAATTCAAAAAGTAATTTATTGAGATATCCATGAATGAGAAATATTGAAGGAAATGTTCCAAACAGAAAATCTTAAAGATTAGATAAAGAAGTTTGACTAGGGAAGAAGCATATGGAGGGATAAGCCCTAGGAAAGCATGTAAACATGGATGAAAAACCTCAAGGCCCTGATATTAGGTCACTTCATCAAACAGGCTGAAGTTGTAAAATTCCCTGGTAAAAATTTCCCAGTGAAAATATCTCAGTATTAGAAATAGTAACTTTTATATATCAGTTCTGAAATTCTCTCTCCTCTTTTCAACCTACATTATACCATTTTCTGGTCTTCCTGTAGATGTAGAAATTCACCATAATACTAAGTAGTTGAGATAAATTTACTAATTTTTTAAAATAATACAAATGAATTTGCTCTCTGGGGGAAAATGTTCTGACTTTTAAGAACATTGTCAAAGCAAGTAGTAAGAGTTTATATTTAAAAGAAATGATTTAAGGGTACAGTGTTAGTTTAGAAAATTAAAATATTATCTTTAAAAAAACTGACCATGCTTTTCACGCACAAAACCATTTACACCATAAGATAGACCTGTCTTCCTCCAACTATCCTAGGAAAAATGTTTTTAAGTCTTATCAAGAAGCAAAAATTCCCCAAATTCAGCATCTTTTTTCCTTCCTATTTAAATGCAGGTATGACAAATAAAAAAAGAAAACACTGCAGCAACACAAGTGTCCTCAACTTCAAAAAACCTTACAGCACCCCAGTACATACCAAAAAATTCTTCCAATAATTGGTTGAAAAACTTAATATAAATTGGCCTTTTTTTTTTTTCTGTAACATAGAGGCAATCTGAAATGGTATAGCAAATTTCTGCAATTATGCTAAAAGATCCCTGTAGTGCACAGGCAACAGGGAAAGAAATTAATGTAATGATGCTGCACAGAATAAGATCACAGAGAAATGGAAGTTGTAACCTATCCAGCCCAAAAGGAGAAAATAATTACAAATAGGCTAACCACAAAGACTGGAAGAGGTTCTAATATTCAGAACAATTCATTAGATACCTTTAAATTAAATCATAGTTTAGATTTTTTCAGTGTATGTCTAAAAGAATAATAGAATATCCTGAAGTAACTGCAACTTCTCAAATTCACTGGCTGCCACAAATCAGAGAGTTTAAGTAATTTTTTATTACCTTCTGTTCTTAAAGAAATTGAAATATATTTTCAGAAATTGAACAAACAAGAAAATTTTTCTGGTTGATGAAATTTCAGAATTAAAGTTTTCTATTCATTGTGAATTATCATGCACAAAACTGCCAATTCCATCACAGACTTTCTATCATACAGTTTACAAAATCTTGTCTTAACAAAAGTAAATATTTTAAACAATGGTAGAAACATGCCTAAGACAAGAGATTATTTGTTGGTTAAGTCTATAATAAAACTGTAACATTTCATTAAGAACTACCTTAATATACTTTAAAATCACTGAAATTTAATAATTCACAAATATAAAACCACATAACTTATCAATAAATTTAGAGTATGTATGGGTTTGTACAAACACACGTACACAATCTGTCAGTCTGTGAATTAAGTTACTCAATTTTTAAACCCTTTCTCTTTCTACAGGTTGCTTATTTTGCTCATTTTAAAAAAGACTTTCCTTGCAAAAGAAATTCTACCATTCACATTTGTGAAATGACCCTAATGCTGGCTTTATGGTTGTGCCACAAATGTCTCTTAGTAAAATTAAGTGGACATGGTCAAAAAGTAATCAGAAATACATTTAAAAGGGAAATTACCTTTTCATTTAAGAATAGGAAATTATGTAGTGCCTTGTAAAATCACCTATAGGTAATGGGAAACAGAAGTATCTCATATATACACACAAAACATGTTTGCGTGCATGACAGAGTAGTAAGTCATGAGGACAAAGCAAGGAGAGTGATATATTGGTATTATAGCCAGAAAATATAAAGGCTAAACAAAATAATTCCACTCGCAATCTCACTGAATCTTGTAGCTTAATTCAGCCTGGACCCTCTGAGGCAAAATATATTTATGGACAAAATTCCCTGAGGTTCTCCCCCAGGCTTGAATGAGCTAATAATAAATGCAATTAAGTGGAAATTGTTTTTGAATCTAAATGAAGTTCAATAATCTAACTAGCTGGTAAGGGCATCATAAGCTAGAGAAGAGAGCTGCCTTAAATAGAGGTAGAGTCAATTCTGCAAAAATTTCAAACCAAGTTTGTCAAATTTTACCAATGTCAAGGCTACCCAAGGCTACCCAAATTGTCCCATCACAATTAAAAAAAAAAGAAAGAAAGAAAAAGAAATCCATGAAAATTAAATAGTCTGACCCTCATCATCTCACCTTGGGGTCAATTTTCTTGAAGTTAGTATCTTCTTCATCCACCTCGAAATAGAGTTCGGAGGAAGTAACAGAAAGAGTCCCCTTTACCACAACAGAGGGGGCCACAAGCTGGGCTGGTGTGCTCAGGCTAACAGGACCTGCCAAAAAGAAAAGACAAGGTGTACACGTCGGGGTGACATTTTTTAAAAAAATCAAATAGCTTCAATCAGAAATTTTATTTAATTTTAAAACTCTCACCCTCAGCACCACATCGTCTGCCGACTCTTTCTATACTTATATATTCTGTTGACCCCAATATTGCTCTAAAAACGCAAAGTTAGGATTCTCATACTGAAAGATTTATAACAGGCAGTTAATGATTCCAGTAAACTAGGATGCAATTATTTCCCAGGGAGTCTGCAAACCTTTAGTCTACTCTCCTGTAAGAGTGACTCTGCCTAAGTCAGCCCATCTACATTCCATTTAGAAAACAAGCCTCAGGCTCTTTAACAACATGGAACAACAACCAGGAGCAAGGAAGACTCAATAAGCTTCCAAGGCCAGAGGTTAGCTTATAGTTTGGCTGAGGCAAGATTACAAAACATCACTAGCTTATTAGTGAAGTGAGAAACATATTCTCTGATACAGCTTTTGTGCCAAACTTAACACAACACCTCTTCGATAAGAACTTTGCTCCATGAAGATAGGTAAAAATAGTTCTTTTCTAAGCCTGCCTTTCCACTGTTAAATATTGTTCAATGCTTCCAAATCTAATATTAGTGTAGTTCAGGGACTCTGGGAGTAAACAGCTGGAGGGTGGGTTTCCAAGTGAATGAATTTTTATTGGAATAATCAAATCTCCACAGGGCTTATCAAAGAGACAAATCAGCCAGCTACTGAAAACAATGGGTTCACTGCAGAGAAAAGAACATAAGTATATTACAGCTACACCTAAAAAAAGGACTAAAATAATTATACTCTGTGCGCGCGCGCACGTGCGTGTGTGTGTGTGTGTGTGTGTGTGTGTGTGTGTGTGTGTGTAGTACAGAGATGGATACAATATGAATTTGAAACCCTGAGTCACTTCCTCATTGTACAACTCCTACCAGGGAAGAAAATAGCAAGGAAAGATTGGCACTTACAGTTCTGAATTAATATAGTGCCTATAAACACGGTACACCTATTCAGGTAATCAATGGGTGAATAAGTGTTTCAAATTTCAGATGAATTGACATTTCCATCAATTGTTGGAAGGGCGTTGGTCCTTAATCTCGCATCAATCTTAATGTGTGCCAGTGGGACAATAGAAGGGATGCTCTGCGGAGATCAGAGCAGGTTTTGCCCTCTATTCCCAATGTACAAATACATTGTGTTTGCAGATGGGCAGCAGATAGCTGCAGAACAGCAATGATTTCCCAAAGCTCATCCCTATAAATGGATGAAATAAGCAGCTATGTGTTCTTTTGCTGTCTCCTTTTGCCCTCTGTACATTAGCATGTAATCCTGAGAAGAAATAACATTTTTTCAATCACTCTCAGACATTCAATTACAGAGTAAGCAGACAGCTGCAGGAGCTAGGGCA